GGATAGTGACTGTCGTTATTGGGATAATAAATGTCGCTATTGGGATGATGACTTTCTTAGGATAAAGCAAGTAGACACCTCCAATACAACAGATTGATACAGCAACTTTTGCCGGCTTATTCTTACCACCAATCTCTTCGCGAAAATGTGCAGACTTGACCAGACTGTCGCACCAAAATGTGCAGACTTGACCTGACTGTCGCACCAAAATGTGCAGACTTGACCTGACTGTCGCACCAAAATGTGCAGACTTGACCAGACTGTCGCACCAAAATATTTTGATGCCGTGATGTGTTGACTATTTGTGTGTGCGTGTGCGTGTGTGTGTGTGGCGTGTGGTATGTGGTGTGCGTGGTGTGTGTGTATGTGTGTGTGTATGTGGTGTGTGTATGTGTGTGTGTGTCCGTGTCAAGGTGGTTAGTTCAAGTGTATGCCTCTATGTTCATATGTTTATCCATACCATGGGTAGGTGTGTTCTGTTAGAATTGTGTTTTGCTATGTTTTATTTTCTCTCAATTCCGTCTAGCGAATTGTTTCAAAGCCCCCCCCCCCCCTCCCCTCTAGTCCAAGCTTCACAAAAGTTTCCTTGAAGTTGAGAAACTGTAAACAGCCAGTAGTCCCCCTTTGACAAGCTGGAGAAAATAGCTGCGTTACCCAGCGACCGGCACGCCAGCCGGCACCACGAATCTCACTAGCTCCTCGACGTCCGGCTCTTACCGCAGGGCCGGCTACTCTACACTTTCTTCACCCATAGATTGCCGGAGATTCCGGTCTTTTGGCCCCGCCCCTTTGCTCAACTGGATGACGGAGGGGCGTGGCCTGCTGAGTAGTGACGTCATATTGAGGCGAGGTTAGAGGTTATTCTCTGTCAACACAGAGGAGCAGGACTGGAGGGAAAGTGTTTTAACAGTTCAATAGGGTCAGTCAAACTGGTGGAGTCTACGTCACTTGGTGGAGGCTACGTCACTTGGTGGAGGCTACGTCACTGGGTGGAGGCTACGTCACTTGGTGGAGGCTACGTCACTTGGTGGAGGCTACGTCACTTGGTGGATTCTATGTCACTTTGTGATATTTACGTCACCTAGTTTAGTTTTGAACACATCTTAGACATTAATGAAATATCTAACACAAACGCATGTGGGGGTGGGGGGAAGTAGTCAGATATCTAACACGAAGTCGGGGGTGGGGAGGTGGTTTATCATTTACTTTTTGTATTACGTCATCATCACCATCATCAGCACCATCATCAGCATCAGCATCACAATCATTCTTTGTTGACCCCTTGTGGAGCATGGGGTCACAAGAACACCTCTCCCATGAGACTGGATGATTGGCTCCGTGACATTCTAGGTTGGCTCCATGACATTCTGGGTTGGCTCCATGACATTCTGGGTTGGCTCCATGACATTATGGGTTGGCTCCATGACATTCTGGGTTGGCTCCATGACATTCTGGGTTGGCTCCATGACATTCTGGGTTGGCTCCATGACATTCTGGGTTGGCTCCATGACATTCTGGGTTGGCTCCATGACATTCTGGGTTGGCTCCATGACATTCTGGGTTGGCTCCATGACATTCTGGGTTGGCTCCATGACATTCTGGGTTGGCTCCATGACATTCTGGGTTGGCTCCATGACATTCTGGCTGCTTCACATGTTCTACACATTTTTTTTGTCCCACCTAGTTCCCTGGGGATGTCAATCTAATGTCCGCTGATGTTGTTGGTGTGTTCAAGGTTTGTCCGCTCCATCTTTTTGTATTTTTTGTGTCACTTGCCTTAATTTTTCCCGTATTTCGGTGGTGTCAACTTTGTCAGACTTATCATGTTCAATATGTCATGCAGACTTCTGTCATTGAAAGTCTGTCAGTGAAAGTCTGTCATTGAAAGTCTGTCAATGAAAGTCTGTCAATGAAAGTCTGTCATTGAAAGTCTGTCAATGAAAGTCTGTCAGTGAAAGTCTGTGGACAAAGGGGAGGGTGGGGGGACGTCATAAATGGATGACCCCTTATGTCATGTGGTATGTTTGGATTATGGAATATGTTGGGGAACCCAAATGATATTATACGTTACATTGTAATATTGTTCAACTATGTCTTACACTGAGTCTAGAGGATATAATTCACAGATATCGTAATCGAGCTAAATAATTGCCAGATATCGTAATCGAGCTGAATTATGGCCTCCTCACCCCACCCCTCCTCACCTCACCCCACCCGTCCTCACCCCACCCCTCCTCACCTCACCCCTCCTCACCCAACCCATCCTCACCTCAGCCCTCCTCACCCCACCCCTCCTCACCCCACCCCTCCTCACCCCACCCCTCCTCACCCCACACCTCCTCACCCCACCCCTCCTCACCCCACCCCACCCCTCCTCACCCCACCCCTCCTCATCCCACCCCTCCTCACCCCACCCCACCTCACCCACACCCATCCTTAACCCACCCCCGTTACCCCACCCCTTGTTTTATTGGATGTGGTCGGTGTGAGGTCAGAGGTCACCTGGATGAGCACGCTCCACGCACGCGCTGATTTAACATACGTCACTTCCTGTCGCATGTTTATTGGAATTAGAAGAGGGGCGGAGCTAACATGACATTTGGGGGTGGGGCTAACATGACATCTGAGGGTAGGTCGGCAATAGACGCGATGACAGCCCCCTGAGGAAGTGATTGTTTGATTAAAAACCACGTGACGACCGTATTGAAATGCAAACATGGCGGCCGTCTGACCGGTGTAATATCTGTCTCACCCCGCTCACGATCGTTTCAAAATGACACGAGTTTGTCCCGCACAGCCAAACTGTCCGGGCTGTCCGCACTTCAACAAGCCAGTATCGCCCAAACATTCTTCCACCAAACATTCTTCCACCAAACAAACATTGTTCCACCAAACATTCTTCCACCAAACAAACATTCTTCCACCAAACATTCTTCCACCAAACAAACATTGTTCCACCAAACATTGTTCCACCAAACATTGTTCCACCAAACATTCTTCCACCAAACATTCTTCCACCAAACAAACATTCTTCCATCAAACATTCTTCCACCAAACAAACATTCTTCCACCAAACAAACATTCTTCCACCAAACATTCTTCCACCAAACATTCTTCCACCAAACATTCTTCCACCAAACAAACATTCTTCCATCAAACATTCTTCCACCAAACAAACATTCTTCCACCAAACAAACATTCTTACACCAAACATTCTACCAAACAATCTTCCACCGAACATTCCACCAAACATTCTTCCACCAAACATTCTTCCACCAAACATTCTTCCACCAAACATTCTTCCACCAAACATTCTTCCACCAAACATTCTTCCACCAAACATTCTTCCACCAAACAAACATTCTTCCACCAAACATTCTTCCACCAAACATTCTTCCACCAAACATTCTTCCACCAAACATTCTTCCACCAAACATTCTTCCACCAAACATTCTTCCACCAAACATTCTTCCACCAAACATTCTTCCACCAAACATTCTTCCACCAAACATTCTTCCACCAAACATTCTTCCACCAAACATTCTTCCACCAAACATTCTTCCACCAAACATTCTTCCACCAAACATTCTTCCACCAAACATTCCACAAAAAAACATTCTTCAAACAAACATTCTTCCACCAACCAAACATTCTACAACAAACATTCTTCCACCAAACATTCTTCCACCAAACATTCTTCCACCAAACATTCTTCCACCAAACATTCCACCAAAAAAACATTCTTCAACCAAACATTCTTCCACCAAACATTCTTCCACCAAACATTCTTCCGCCAAACATTCTTCCACCAAACATTCTTCCACCAAACATTCTTCCACCAACCAAACATTCTTCCACCAAACATTCTTCCACCAAACATTCCACCAAAAAACATTCTTTAAACAAACATTCTTCCACCAACAAAACATTCTTCCACCAAACATTCTTCCACCAAACATTCTTCCACCAACCTAACATTCTTCCACCAAACATTCTTCCACCAAACATTCCACCAAAAAACATTCTTTAAACAAACATTCTTCCACCAACAAAACATTCTTCCACCAAACATTCTTCCACCAAACATTCTTCCACCAATCATTCCAGCAAAACATTCTTCAACCAAACATTCTTCCACCAAACATTCCACCAAAAAAACATTCTTTAACCAAACATTCTTCCACCAAACATTCTTCCACCAAACATTCCACCAAAAAAACATTCTTCCACCAAACATTCTTCCACCAAACATTCTTCCACCAAACATTCTTCCACAAAACAAACATTACTCCACCAAACATTCTTCCACCAAACATTCTTCCACCAAAAATTATTTCACCAAACAAACATTCTTCCACCAAACATTCCACCAAAAAACATTCTTCCACCAAACATTCTTCCACCAAACATTCTTCCACCAAACATTCTTCCACAAAACAAACATTACTCCACCAAACATTCTTCCACCAAACATTCTTCCACCAAAAATTATTTCACCAAACAAACATTCTTCCACCAAACATTCTTCCACCAAACATTCTTCCACCATTACACCATGCTTCTCTCATCAAATCAAATAGTGCAGATAAAATAACGTCATGATGCGCGTGTTCAATTACAAAAAAAATGATCCACCGCCTTTTCACCAACTATTGCTGGGTACTGGGGATAGGCTGATTCCGTTCAATTATCAACGCCAGTAATTAGTTAGCAGCTTCAGTTATCCTTAGATGACAAATGTATAATGTTCGTTTGAAAATTTATCTAAATGCCAACAATATCGAAACTACATTTCTGGGATCTGAGTTGTTTTAGCGAGGGCTGCCCGAACTACCAGCCAACCATCTGGGTTGGGCGAAGTGGTGGCCCGCTAGCTCTGGGGTGTCCACACTACCAGGGTCGCCTGACCGCTCACCACCGACAAGACGCCATCCCAGCTTAAGGTATATATCAGGGCAGACAACCAAGAAGGTACAACTACATCAGGGCAGACAACCAAGATGGTACAACAACAGCAGGGCAGACAACCAAGATGGTACAACAACAGCAGGGCAGACAACCAAGAAGGTACAACTACAGCAGGGCAGACAACCAAGAAGGTACAACTACATCAGGGCAGACTACCAAGATGGTACAACAATAGCAGGGCAGACAACCAAGAAGGTACAACTACATCAGGGCAGACAACCAAGAAGGTACAACTACATCAGGGCAGACAACTAAGAAGGTACAACTACATCAGGGCAGACAACCAAGAAGGTACAACTACATCAGGGCAGACTACCAAGATGGTACAACAACAGCAGGGCAGACAACCAAGATGGTACAACAACAGCAGGGCAGACAACCAAGAAGGTACAACTACAGCAGGGCAGACAACCAAGAAGGTACAACTACATCAGGGCAGACTACCAAGATGGTACAACAATAGCAGGGCAGACAACCAAGAAGGTACAACTACATCAGGGCAGACAACCAAGAAGGTACAACTACATCAGGGCAGACAACTAAGAAGGTACAACTACATCAGGGCAGACAACCAAGAAGGTACAACTACATCAGGGCAGACTACCAAGATGGTACAACAACAGCAGGGCAGACAACCAAGAAGGTACAACAACATCAGGGCAGACAACCAAGAAGGTACAACTACATCAGGGCAGACAACTAAGAAGGTACAACTACATCAGGGCAGACAACCAAGAAGGTACAACTACATCAGGGCAGACAACTAAGAAGGTACAACTACATCAGTGCAGACTACCAAAATGGTACAACTACATCAGGGCAGACAACCAAGAAGGTTGATTGTTTGAGTGTTTGAGTGTTTGAGTGTTTGTTTGTTTGATTGTTTGATTGTTTGGTTGTTTGATTGTTTGATTGTTTGATTGTTTGATTGTTTGATTGTTTGATTGTTTGATTGTTTGATTGTTTGATTGTTTGATTGTTTGATTATTTGATTGTTTGTTTGATTGTTTGATTGTTTGAGTGTTTGAGTGTTTGAATGTTTGATTGTTTGATTGTTTGAGTGTTTGATTGTTTGACTGTAGGCAGACTTTCGAAGCGTTAGATTTTCACCTTATTTTTTCCAAGAGCGGATGCACTGTATGTGTTTGTGTGAGTATTTGTTTATGTGAATGTGTTTGTGTGTATGTATGTGTGTACAAAAACCTCATCACCCCCTCCCCCCCTCCTCCTCCCCCCCCCCCCCCCCGACTCAA